AAATCCCTGGTTGGGTCAGGCCCTTCCTGATAGGTTGCACAGTCTAACTCCACGTGTGGCCTTTCTGCCTGACCTTCAGTGATTATTTGCCTTGGGGTTATTGACTGTCTGTTACATTAGCATGTCATGCGAAAGGTTGAAGGCATGTGAAGAAGAGACCAGCCATCCAAGACAGTTGTGTGTCAGTGCACAATCACAGTGTGTTTTTTTTTGTCTTTCTCTCCAAGCTGCCTTCCTCATTTCAAGGAAAATAAAATCAGCCTTATGCAGTCAGAGTATTTGCAGATTGATCATCTCCTACTACACATTCTTTTATAAGACAATTTCTTCTCAATAGAGAAAATAGTTGAACGTGATTTGCCTTATTCAGCACTATAAAAACATGAAAAGTGAAGATGGAAGAAGAGACAGAAGTGAGATTATACAGAAACTAAAAAGCCATTGACAGTGAAATATATGCGGACATACACTAAAAGACCCATAATCTTTAGCAGATGTAGGGCTGTGTTCTGCAACAGTCTTTCATTAGGAATATGCTTACTCCAAYAATAAATTTATTTGGGGCAAAGGATACGAATTTTAAATCACATTGGGAATTTTCACTGGGATATATGCTTTTGTATTAGTTGGTAAGCCTAGTATGCAGGTGTAAAATGGTCATGGTTTATTTTAAAGACTTCCTTTAAAATGTTTTTTGTTTTTATCTACCAAAGGTAGATAGAAGTTCTCCAAATTAACCTTTAATCTTTTCCAATGAAACATCTTTGCCATTGAAATAGGCTGTTTCTAAAACCCATATATATATATGTATATTTTTTTTAATATGTTATGCTCTGTCTCTGGMAGAGTGCCATCTTTGGGGGAGAAATTTTTCCCTTTTCTTGCAACAAAATAAAATGTGGTTTTAGTAGAGCTTTCATGCTTCTGCTTTTTCATATTAGAGTAGTAACTTTCATGTATTTCTGTTAATCTCCTAAATAGGTTACAAGTTCAAAAATATACAGTGCTAGCCATTGTCCTTTAAGACTTAAAATTCCTGTCGTTATAGTATATTCTAGAACTCTTTCGGACAAGGTACACATGGCTATTGTAACAACTTGCATTAATATGAATTATTACCTCTTCCAGAAGGAACCAAATGAACTTTACGGTTCCTTTCGCCTCCCCAGTAAAATAAACCTAATTTTATTCAGGAACTTGCAAGCTATTCAGATTTCTAAATAAMTCTCACATAAGGAGCATCTTCTGTTTTGGTTGCACAGCAAAATGCATGTGCCTTTCATTTGAAATTTTTTTGGCACAAAAACTGTTTTTGGTCATGAGATATTTGGTATACGTGTTATCTAAGACATTGATGCAGATCCTATTATTCTAACAGTGGAGCTGTATTTAGTGTTAAAGAGGTTTTATTTATTATTTCCCATCATTACGTTTTTGGGGATATTTGTTAATTTGCAATGAAAAGGGAAGAATACCCACAGTGCTCTTTACTGAAGCATCTTCAATTTTTTTAGAGTTTAAAAAGAATGGTGATGGCCATTCTTAATTATGGTTCCTTCAGCATTTAATGACATGCTAGCTGTGGTAGAAGTGAGTTAGGAAAGTAACGTYGGGCCAGTGCTTTCATTTGGCTCAAATTTGCTTTGCTCAAGTGTGTTGAGATAATCCAGAACCCAAGGGTTTCCTGTTCATTTTCAACCATCATCGCTCATTTTTGTCACCAAGTGTGACAGTTTTGTACAATGAAAGTAAATTTAGCAGAATGGCCTTGTTCTGGTAATGTAATTACTTCTTTGGCATACTCATTAAACAAAGCTTTCTTTTAAGTTTGAGATATTGTGAGGAAGCTCTGCCACGAACCAAGTACCTGTGTTCTCGGCTCTGGCTTAGAAAAATTTTTATTATCAGTAATTTTCTTCCCTTTAAACACATCTATAATTAAACATATAATCTCTTTGGTATTAGTCAAACCACATCTGTATTTTCACTATAGTCGGGCATTATATCAACTTCCACAGAAATCTGCTATTTAGATTCTAGCAGTCTATTGAAGAAAATATAAAGTTTGGTTGCTTAGTCACAGAATTGAAAATATATTTGAATTTTATTTCCCCTCAGTTGTCTACCTAGAAAATTCTGAAAGTAGTGGAGTAGCTAAACAGAGTGGAAAAGCTCCGGAGTTTAGTTTAACTGCTATAAAGCTGAGAATGTAAAAGTGATTTTTTTTTTTTTGAATATTTCAATTGCAAATATGTAAATTGAATGAGTTTGATTGCAACTCCTCATGTATCAATTTTATTAATATCTTGAAGCAGCAGTAATTTACACTTTAAAGCAAAGATGATAGTGCATTATGGAAATGGGTGAAATTTCAATAGAAATTGCTCATACGTGAGAAGCATTTTAGGATATTCTTGTCTGCAGCGCCAGGGGATTGGAATGATCTATTTCAGATTCCTCTTTCTTCCCAGATAAACTAATAGGTACTTATGGATGGGATGGAGCTCTGTCTGTGTGTGTGTGTGACACAGAGCAGAAAAGAGGGAGTAAAAAGGGAAGGAATGGTGAATATCCATAAGAAGGAAACCCAATACAGTGATAGCATTTTTCTTGCCATTGGCAAAGAACAGCCTTTGAGGAATTTCAGTGGGTCTGTGTTTAAGCTACTATCTGTACTCTTCATTCTAATATTAAACTATAGAGGTCTTATTGTACAATATTTAATGAGACCATGTGCATAACCAACTTTATAATGTGGTTTGTCTTTGTCAGACATAAGGTCTGTTTTAAGTGTTGTTACTGTAATACCTTGAGCAGCTTATCTATCCTATGAGTGACTAGGAAATGGGCTACTTTTTTTTTTCTGATATGCTGCACATCAAACAATCTTTAAAATGTTCTATATACTATTATGTTTGTGTATATAAAATATACTCTGTGTATAATGTATGAAAGTCAAACCTTCTACTAGCTTTGACTTCTACTAGCTAGACAAAAAAAACATACGGGGGCTATTAGGTGACAAGATTTAGGGGTAGATTTTCCCCTAAAATACTTATTCACAATCAACTGTAGCTGCTGAATCAAAGGGATATTTTTCTTCACAGACAACACAGGTGGTGTATGTGTATATAGCTATATATGTGTATATATACACACATAAGCATTATTTTTGACAATTTCCAAAAAGATTATGATCAAGACAGAGGAAAAACTGAAGAATAGGTATGGTATCTTCGATGTCTAGGTATCTTCAACATCTTGTGCCTCACCAAACTATAGCCCTACAATGTGGCCAGGAGTCTTTCTAGTGTCTATGTCAGTTGCTTAAAACCAGTTTTGTTTCTTTTACCTTTATATCCTATGCTTCTCTTTTCCCATTTTCAACCATTTCCATTGCTGTGAAAAAAAGTTGACTGGGAAAGTCTTGCTTTCTCCCCTGAGTGGAGCTGCCAGTGCAGCTTTCCTTGAGTCAAGCACTTCCATATGTTTTGGAAAGTCAAACTCCATACTAAAGTGCTTCCCGTGGGAAAAGCTCAATGGGYAGAGCATATCGCAGAGTGCAGCTATGAAATCTGTCCTCAGGCTGCAGTGTGGACACACAACATTGTCAGGMAAGTTCTTGTGCTTGCCAGTGCCTGGCAAGGTGTTGGTGTAAGGAGCTTGAATGAGAGGACAATGGACTTTTGTGTGACAGGTGAAAATTTCAGCATGAGTGTGTGTGGAACAGAAGAAAATCTTTGTAACTATTCATTACAGTATTTTAGCCAGATTTTAGTTCTCACATAGGTCTTTGGCCATGCAAGTGGGACTAGTGAAGAAGGGACTAGGTAGTCCTTTGTTTCTACAGCACCTTTTCCTATAAAAAATACTTTATTTTTTTAAATGATTTTTCATAGGCTTTGACTCATTGGTTATGTYCCAGAGTAGCTCTAAAGAGCTAAGCAGAACCTGTGCTTCCTGCATGGTCTTTGTTAGCTGACTGCTTGGAGAACATCTGCCTCATTGAGGGATGGGAACTTGTCACCTTCATTTCACTTTCGCTTCTATCCCATCTGTTTGTTTTTGTTCAAATGTTGTTTTGTTGAAAGAGTGAATTCTAAACTTCCCTAACCAAATTGGGTCATGGGGAGGAGGAGGACACCAATGCTTCATTTTTTTTCTTGTTTTGTTTYGAAAATTGCAACTATATATTTTGATGAAGAAAATGCTATAAAAACAAGCAAATGAATTCCCCACCCCCATTGGAGCAACTAATGAATTGGCTTCTTTGGTAAACTGGGGCAAAACATAAACTTTTTCATACTATTTGTTGTATTTGTTGGAGCACTATGGAGCATGCCATAGACTTAGCAGTATTGCTYAGAGATAATCAGCTCACATATTTTACGTAGCCTTATCTGCTTTATACTCATAATGGATAAAAAGACAGTAATAGTTGCTTGTTTAGTATAGTGTAAGAACTTCTCACTGTTCTTAATTATTATAGATAGTGCTGAGAGCTCAGAGCTGCAAGAACTGTGCTGTTCCTGAAACTGTAATTTAATGTGGAGATGGACATGTTAATCATTGCCTAAATAATTCAAATTATAGAAATTAATGCTGATAGATTCAATAAAACAAAAACAGGAAGGGAAACATTTGGCTAGTTTATGGCATAGGATCTTACAAAATTTCTAAATCTGATTTCAGTTTAGGCATTTTAATATATTTTTGAGGGCAACATTGAGGTGTTTCCTCAATGTAATATCACAAGTATAATTTAATAAAATAATTCATTTTATAATGCTCATATTTTACACTTTTTCAAACTGAGAAGGAAATGCTTTCAACACAGGGCACTCCAGAAATAATTCTGTAGAGGGTGATATTCTTCTGTTATTTGTGGCAGCAATTTTTTTCATTTATATGGTACGTTTATGATTTAGGTGTTTGGGAAAAATGTAAGTGCTTTTGATTTATTTTGCGTTTTGGTGCGTTTTGTGTTTTCAGATATTCGTCTAGTTTTTCATATCCAAGATAGAATATATAATGGGGAGAAAACTGGATCTTTCTGGCTTGACTGATGAAGAAGCAGAGCACGTACTTCAGGTTGTTCAGCGAGATTTCAGCCTCCGTAAGAAGGAAGAAGAAAGACTGAGGTAAGATTAAAAACATGATAAAAAATGCTGTCCATATTGGTTTATAACAAAGTGATTATCAGGGAAACTGGAGAACATGTTTGTCTCTGAGTTTGTTTAAACTCAGTCCGATGTCAGAGGTCCACGGTTGAAGGTTTGGTAACTTGTTCTGTAGTTATTAGGGATGTAACTTGTGTTTGGTAAAGCACAATTAGACAGTTGTTCTTGGGGAAGAATGCCTGCGTGGTAGAAATAGCCAGACTAAACTCTTGCAACAGTGCTAGCCCAGCAGCTCGCTACACGAATCAATGAGCAACAGTTTAGAGTAGTCCACAGACCAGTAAAGATCAGCCCATCTGAAAGCTGTCTACCTCCAGCCTTACGAGCCTCAGCCCAAAGACGGGTGGTGTGACCAGTATCTTTGGGAATGCCTGGTGGTGGAGGACCTCACGGACACCTGGGAGCAAGTTCTTCTGGCCCAGACCAATGTGCTTGACACTCTTCTACTGCTGATAACGACTGCTTCTGCTCGCAAAGAAAGGGGAATGGAGATAACCCAGTTTCTCTAACTTCATRTTGTTCTATGTATTAACTATGACACCTTCACCGAGGCAATAAATGTCACACTCCTTCACACAGACCCAGTTATGGCACAGGAATTCCTCTGTGTGTTACTTTGTTCCAGCTCAACTCACAACAGTGGTCCCTTCAGCATCTGTGCGTGAATGCTGGGGAGGCTACACAACAAATGTCTTGAATATAAACTTTTGCTCACAGAAAATTGTTTGTTTGTTGTGTTATATGCCTTTTTGTTCTTGTAGTGGATTTAATGCACCAACTTTGGCCCTTGCATGGAATTGTTAAGCCTTTCACATGCAGTATTGATAATAGTAGGGTTTCTGTATGCTTCTTTGTATCAAAGATATTTATTGATTTCACACTAACACCACACTTGCATGCATCTCTTTAGGATGTTCCGATTAATAGCACTTATTTCTGAAAATTGAGAATTGTTATGTTAGGAGGAAAATGCAAGCTAGGAAGACTAAAGGGTTGATGTCTGCAATTTCACTTTGCCAGCAGAAGATTAAGATTTAAGGAGAAAAGTTTATCTTTGTTCTTAACAAATGTTTTAAAGGTAGAATGACCAACCAGTCCAGAGCTAAGCATACGATCCATGTTTTAAAATATTTCATTTGGAAATATAAATTAACATTTAACCAAAGCTATAAAAGACGTAAGYGTATGGAAGTTTTGTGTTCTTGTCTGGGTAGTTCTTAGTCAAGCGTGTGACTTTCATATACCATAGGTAGCAGTTTAGCTGCTGGGAAACTTTGCATTGATGTAATATTACTGTAGCTCTTTTAAAATAGGTTATGAGGGGGAAAAATCATGAAATTTCCTTGAGTTCTTTTAAAATATTTATAAATGAAACTTGCATATAGGCTAATGTTCTCATTATTGTCATATGGTTTTGTCATCCCTTACTTAAGAACTAGGTAAATTCTGAAGTGAAGTGCAACGTGTGTAAGAAGCCAGGTTCATCTTTTGTATTTTCTGCTGCAAAGCTGTCTTCTACATTTCTGCATTGAGAGTCTTCAGACTGATTCTTTAATTCAAATGTTTCTCCCCAGTTTGTTAGTTTTACCAGAGAGACCCATAATTCCCTTGTACTTTTTTTGTGAAACAATTACCCTGGTAAAAATAATACATCTGTAAGATAACTCTATGTAATTAGTTATACTTAGTGTGTTTTATTTGTTATGTCTGATTTCTTCGTGTCTGTGCGGTTTCTCTTCTTCCCTTTGCCACAGCTCTCTCCCTGGCATCACATTAATAATATTTACTGTTCTTTGTTGCTTGTTCACCCCTAATCTTCTATTTGATTATGTGTTGGTTCTGTTCTTTGGCAGCAGTGTTATGTTTTTATTTACTCCAATGTTAGTGTAATCATTCAGAGTCACTGTGGCTAAAATTACAACACAGGCTTGTTAATAGATGGGCTTAGTTTTCTGTGAATCAGTCAAACCGGGCAAACCAGGCCGATCCGGTACAATTCTAGAAGGTGCTTCATTTGAGTTGTTCACATGCGTGCTCCGAACCAGACTGGTGTTTCTTGCATGCTTCGCCTCTGCTGCAGAAGCTCTGCAGGCTGCCAGTGATCTACCAAGACTTTAATTTGCTTTCAGAGCTGATTAGCTGGAAATGGTCATTAGTTTGTGTGTTTTTCATGGAGGGACTGTGCATGTGTACGGGATGCTTTTTTTGTTGTTGTTATTTTTCTCTTTAATTTCAGGTCTCATGTATATGGAAAATGGGGAAGGCTGGACTGGTTTGGAGGTTGAACATTCACACTTTACCATGTATAACTTTATTTTCGTCATGTTCGCAACTTGTTTCTTTTTTTTTAAAGAGACCCTACAGGAGAGCTTGTAAGGACCTACAAACCTTAATTTATGTTTGTGAGAAAGACCTCGTTAAATCTGTAAATGTTTACTGCCTTGTATTTTTCTCCTTTTTGCTGGTGTATTTCTAGTGCTTTCCAGACTTTCCAGATGTGCCATCATGCCTTCAACGTTCCCAGCTGCGGCCAAAATCAATTCTCCCTCTTTTTTTTTTTTTTTTTTTTTTAAACTATTATTACTCTATAAATATGCTAGTTCATTTGATTGGGTCAGGAATGCTGTGAAGTCAGGTTGTTTTATTGTTATTGATCATTTTACAAGGTGGGGGGGGAGAGAGAATTATCATGTCACCTTATTGCTTGTAGAAATTCCTAACCAGTGCTGTCTGTGTGGACGAWTTACTAGGTGACTGTGTTAATACTGACTTGGTCATTCAGAACAACTGCAAAGAAAGGAGAAGTCAGAGGACACAGAAAGGCCTGCTGGCTTGGTGAGGCAGAAACCTTCCAATAGCTACTTTATTTTAGCAGGTTATGGCCTAAACTCCTTATTCCCTTCTTCCTATAGCCCCTGGCTAGTAAGTTGTCATTGCTATTGTATTGAGTGAATGCTAAATCAGTTATTTGTATGGTGATATGCTAATGGTAAACCTTAAAAACTTTAGTGCTTCCAATAGCTACTTTATTTTAGCAGGTTATGGCCTTAACTCCTTATTCCCTTCTTCTTATAGCCCCTGGCTAGTAAGTTGTCATTGCTATTGTATTGAGTGAATGGTAAATCAGTTATTTGTATGGTGATATGCTAATGGTAAACCTTAAAAACTTTAGTGGGGAAAAATGGAAAATGCTTGTCAGTGGAAAAGGTTCTACTTGGTTCCATCACTCTTAACCACGTGGAACAAGGAAAACTTACCTTCTTTCCACACACGAATGTGTGGTCATAGTGCTGTGATCATTTAAGCTAGCTGTGTTGGATTGTTGGAACGACTTGAGGGAAGCATTAGGAATCCAAATACTCCCTGTGGTCCTAGGCAGCATGCGCCACTGTCTTGCCTAATGTGTCTTTGGTAGCTTGATGGGGAGCATCAGCTTAGATGTCTTTATGCATTGGCACTTTGTGGCAAATAAAAAGTAATCCATGATGAAAAAACTTCTTASAGAATTGTTTTATTTGCAGGAATAAAACTGAGTATATGCCCTCAAGCATGGCTTCTATTCTCTGACTGTTCAGGTTATTCTTTTAAACACAAAATTGGTGAGGTAGTGCCCAGTGCAGAAGAGGATGAAACTAACTTTTTTTTTTTAATGAAGATGGTTGTCTTTACCTGCTCTATGTTTTTTTTTGTTTCTTTTCCTGCTGCTTTGCTGTCATAGCTTGCTGGAGCATAAGTTGGYTCACAAAGAGGGTTTTTGAGAAGTACCTCATCATACCTGACAAAATCCAGAAATCCATTTGACGTTGCTTCTTGTCATATTACAGTAGGCTTCAGTGCACACGTAAGTATGTGTCATGAATCTTGTGCTGGATAAAGTMTAAAAGTCCTCCCAACCTCCATTTACTGAAATGTTTGTGAGCCATATCAAAAATGRCCAAATGCCAAGTTAGACTTTTGTGTAGCTGCTTGTTGAATCCCCTCATTTTACATACTAGTTCCTGTTCCAGCCTTCTATAAAAGRCTTGTAAAGCACAAAACCCATCCTTTTTTGTGCTCCCCTTTTGCTCCTCACACTGAAGCAATTTTAAAACTGTTTTCCAGGAGTGAAAAGAATAAGAGGTTGGTCTCTTAGATCTTATTAGATAAGGGTAAAGTGTATCTAGGGCAGTATCACTATATTTTGGAGATAGCATTGACTAACAAAGTTAAGATCAAGGCATTCTATTAATATAGCATCACAAATTTTCTGCAAAGAATCAAAGTTGCTTGTCAAAAATAGTGACCTAGAGATGAATTTTGTATAAAAGCTGGGTAGCTTCAACGTCAGTAAGGATATGCTTCAAATGCTTGTAGAAGTTAGCGTCCTGGTAATCATATAACATGTTAATCATACAATATAACATGCTAATCATATAATGTACACCTTTGTTTAGTTGAGAGTCCATGCACTGTGATTTGTCCCAAACTCCATACTCTAACCCAAGTGTGAGATCTGGTACAAAGACGTAGGTTCTGCTATTTCAGCATTGCTCCCTGCCCTGTTTATRAATAGAGGAAGCGATTGCAGTTGTCTATATTGGAGGACCCAACTTATGCTTCACAAGAGAAAAAAACTGCAAAAAGTCTAGCATTGGTAGCAAATAACTTTTGTCGTCTTCAATTGTGGATTTAGGTTCAGTTTTATTCCACTTGAAGGTAAAAGACAAGAGGCCAAAGATCAACATAGGCTTTAGGTCCTCTAAAATGGTTCTGTGCACACATTCATACATCTGTGCACACATGCACACATCTCCATGAAGATGACTTTTCATGACTTTAGCAGAGCCCACTGTGAATATACTTTATTATCCAAATGCCCTATGGGTGCTCTAGGGAAAGTCTGGTCAGGCCTGCTCAGCAGCAGTCAATTTGCAACTGTGGGATCCCATGTTCATGATTTACATCTTGAGTTTTGAACCATGTGTTTTAATAGAGGTAAAGCTAAAATTTATACCTAGAACTGTTCTAAGTGAAGAACACTGAAAATGAAGAAATGTCTTAAAGACAGTCTTGAATGATGGAAAATATTGATGAAGCAAACATGAAAAAATGAGTCATGTTTATGAAAATGTGCACGAAGGAAAAACCCTACTTTTAGTGAATATTAGATAAACCTGTGAAGAAAAAGTCTTCAGATAACAGTTTAAGTACTGAATGTCCTCTGAGAGACCCAGCTGAAATAGAGCTCACATTCCCACATGCCATGCAAGTCTTGCCCAGTGTGTGTATTTACAACTCATATTGTCCTCTTCATTAGAGATATTATCAAATTTATTGCAGCTTAATGTGGCCTTTGTAATAGGTTATTGCTGTTCAAATTAATAATCCTAGTTTCATTCAGAAGAGAGCACACTTAGTGATAATGAATAAGCATAACGTAAAATCAATATTTAATCTTGGACATCTTCTGCATGAAGATTCTAAGCTGTTAAACATGACTTGCAAGAGTAATCTTCTCCCAAATGAGTAATCCAGCAGTGGAAGGAAGGGAGTTCTTCAGTACGGACTCCTGCCTGTGTAATTTAGTTTTGCTGGAAGTAATTGCTGAAAACATTAAAGTAGTCTGTAGAAGTGCTTCAAATTTGAAAAACAAGATACCAGTCATGTGAAATACATTACTCAGGACCATTTAGTTCGTGTGCATGCCTTGTCATGGGGGAAAGTGCTTATGTACAGTTAGTATAAGAGAAGGTGTAA